AGTGGTATTTTTGTAAATGGACATCCCTAAGTATCATTCTTGCATATGTGCACTCAAAAAGTGTTATTTTTGTAACTGCCCCTTTTTATATTGGATAAAAAAAAAAGTTTTGATTACTCAATGCAAATAAGTTTCAATTTGTACAGAAAAATCAGTTTTGGAACGGAGAAAGTGAGACTAATGAAAAAGACTAAGGAAGGAATAAGATCGAAGAAGCTATTTGCAAATTCCATCTCAACACTTTAACAAGAGGAGAAGATCCATTTTTTAAATATAATTACTTTCAAATCAATCTTCTCTTTCATTGTAACAGAAAAAATCATTGTATACAATTTTTATTTATTATTAAATAGAAAGAAGATGAACAAAGAAACAGAAGTAATAAAGAGAACATGTAGATCGAATGATGAAAACAAAATTAAGAAGAAATATGTTATTAGCTATTAAATTTACTTTTAAAATTATATTTAATATAATTAAATGAGAACGAAAATTTTTAATTTCATTTACAATTGATGTGAAATAATCAATTAAGTGAGTGTTACAAATATTAACAACATTTATTGATAAATGATACAACTCTTACAATCATTTATGAAAACTGAAACAAATTTTAGCATTGATGTAATTATAAAATCAATTAAATAAATGATGATAGGGGCAATTACAAAAATGTCACTTTTTGTATGCATATTTGCAAGAATGCCATTTAGAGGTGTCTATTTACAAAAAATGTCACTAATTATATATTTATAAAGCCTATATCTTAAAATTCTAAACCCTAAAAAATGTTTAGACACTTAAAACCTCCTAAACACTCAAAACTAAACCCTAATAGAATATAATTAACCCAAACATAAATAATATAAAAAAAAAAATTCGAAAAAGTGGCATTTTTGTAAAGATTTCAAAAGTGTGGCATTTTTGTAAAGTGGCACTTGAAAAGTGGCATTTTTTGAAATTTCTCATGATATAAACATTCAACATCAATTTTTATAACAGAAACAAATATTTAAAATCAGATATACAAATTGATGTAAGGTTTTAACTTCATTTTTTATAAACGATACATATTAACATCAGTTATAAAAAATGATGAGAATATTTGTGTCAGTATTTTTTACTGATTCCAAATATTAGAATCATCATTTTCAGAGTCACTCACAGAAATGATGTAATTTTAGTTGTATCAATCGAAAAGTGATGTGAACTAATAAAATAAATGACGTAATACACCTTTTTTTTTGTAGTGCATTAAAACAAAAATAAATTCAATTCAATTTAAATTTATGATACACTTTTCTATTTCTACATTTACAAATATCATGGAAATCCACTAATTATGTGATATTTTTCTAGTATTAAATTAGATGTGATATTTATAAATGACTTTTAAGTATATATCATTTTTATATATACAATATGAATAAGTTTATTATTGGGAGAATTACAAAAATGCCACTTTTTAATGACACATTTACAAGCGTGCCACACC